ATTTGTCACTCAATGGACATGCTGTAACAAGTGTGGAGGCACTAAGCAACTGTTCAGTTGGAAATTCATTGTTAAATCAGATATCCACTTCAATAGTTTGCCAGTTTGGATTCCTGGCTGCACACTTAAGCTAACTTTATAATCATCTTACAGTAACTTAATTGTGCTATACAATACATTTCAGACACTTTGGGATGATTTAGGCATAGCATTTCAAACATGCTATATTGACTTGGCATTGGTTTTTGGCAGAAATACTAGTTGGCATTTGGTGATGTGAGCCAGGTAAACAAAAACATGGATTGCGGTCTCTGCTTGTCCAAAGACTACTTTCATATTGGTTTCCTTACACTGTGATTTTTTATTTGGGCGAACTATCCCTTTAACACGATTGCTAAGTGGGTTTGTAAACAGTTAATAATGAGTACATCGTTTCTAGATCTGTAATAAAACATGTGACTGTTATTGGACTTCTGACAAATTGTTCTTACTACATTTCACAATATAATTTAAATCAAACTCCTACTGAACTCCAGCTAAAAGTCTCCTCAACCATATGCTATAGCACCACCAATACTGTTTTTTCATATTTAAATATTTAAACAATTTAACCAAAACACTTGAATATTCCCTGAGACAGTCATTTGGGATGGAGGCAATTATCACTTGAAGTTGAAGCATCCCTGAAACGGGCAGAACTGGACTCTTTCATCCTTCACACAAGTGTATAAGTGTGATATTTATTGAACAATCTTCCTGTCTGAACACTGGTCCGTTATTGAGCCGGACACAAAGGTGTTACTGATGACTGTGTTCAGCAATCAATCCTATTGATTGCTGCCCCAATTTACCTTCCCTGAACCTTTCTTCACTTTATGGCTATTGCTGACATCATAAACTTCCCAACCCTCTTTCTTGGGAGGTCTGTAACATTTTAATATGTTTCCTGTTTTCCCCTCGAGTGCATTTCAACAGGTATATTTTATGATTTCTAGCTGTTGTCATTGGTTTAATGTTTTATGCAATAAAGTATAGTGACAAATGTAGCTGTAATGTTTGTGTTGCCAATGAAAATGACTAATGATGATAAGGAGTAGTTGTGGAAGTTGGACAAAGTGTTAGTAGCTAAACAATTGCCACTTTAGCACTTTAACCAGTGCCTGTCACTTGTAGCTTACCTGAGGGGATCTGATTGTCCTTTGGCAGCATGAAGTTGAGAGCTCTCCCACCTTCCCTCAAATTAACTGTGCACTAGTTTGACAGTTTTTAATTGAAGACGACATTGACTGAGAACAGGTCCCCTGTGGCTTTTAGTGGTCCATGTAGGCCAGAAATGAGTCATGAATATGTAGCTATGTGTGCGCATAGGTGAGAGTTTGTGATTATGGGCAGAGTGTGTGAATGATTGTTTGGTAAGGATTTTGTGTGAGCATGTTTACATTTACATTTTAGTCATTTAGCAGACGCTCTTATCCAGAGCATTTTCATACTGGCCCCCCGTGGGAAACGAACCCACAACCCTGGCGTTGCAAGCACCATGCTATACCAACTGAGCTACAGGTTGTAAGGTTTATGTCATTGCTGGCGTCAATGTTCTCTTCTCTGGGGTGGGTGGTCTGTGTGCATTTGCATCAGTAAAGAGCTCCGTCTTCAGTCTCATTTGTCCCCCATTGATTCGCTAAATTAGGTTGATGAGAGGCCGTCCTATCAGGTGACATATTAATTGGGTCATGCTAGATCCCGTACGAAATCCAAACAATGGCCTCCCAACACTAAACCTTTCTCTTCGGGCCTGTTTCTCTCCTCCTCTCTCTCTTCCACCAATTAGCCTCAGAATTAATCTGTTTCCAGTACCCTCACCCCTCAACCATCCCAAGAGTCAGGATGCCACCAGGCAGTCACTGACCTCCTAAATGCATTTTGTGTGACCCATGACAGGTATGTTTATAAGTTAGGAGCTGGAAATGCCACAAGTAAGGTGTGGCAGTGGGCTAGGGTAGGGGTAGCCAGAGAAACACAGGGAAAGGACAATCAATCAGCCGTGAATTTCGTAAGCTAAATAAATGATTTATTGTACAAAATAAGACAGAAAACAAATAACAAAAAAACAAAAAAATAACAATGGAACCGTTATTAATATGCACAACCATTAAACTACAACGTTGGGGTGAATTTTATCTACACAACATGATGAACTGATGAAAGTGAAAGAAAAGAAAGTTGACAAAAACAGAAGCGGAGAACCTGTCCAAAACATCATAAAATGTCAACATTTGGGTATTTATTTACATAGAGATTTCTTCCTATCATATATTTATATATATGAAAACACTTTCTTACACATACCAGTATACAGACACAAAAATTCAAGATGCAACTTTATCCACAGCATTAACCAGAGTTCAGCCATGGTCCTGGGCACAGCCACTTTTATTTTTATTTTGTCAGTATACATTACCTTTAGCTATTTGCTTCAGTCACTCTTTTGAACTCAGCTGTCAATTACTCAATCTTGACCTGAGACCAAGGCGACCCTGTGGCTTTAGTAAAAAAATGTGGGTTTACTATCCAGGTTACATGTTTGCACAGATTAACTCATGACAAAACCTAACTGTCAAATTTATAACAGAATGCTGAAGTGAGGTAGACATACTTTGAAATTCATTGATTTGATCTTAATAAATACAGAGACACTTGACCAGTTGAATTGTTTCCAACCGCTGCCCATTCTACATTTTTTCTCCCTTTGAAATTGTTTAGCATATATATTCCTGCAGTTACAAAAGTTACAGCACACATGTCATCCTCTACTTTGGCTAATGATCCCTGGATACTTTTTCCCATTCTAATATGGGCACTTTCACTCAAAACACACAAAGGCAAAACATGTCTGTGTTAGACCGTCAACACAAGTCGCTCAAATTCAAAAGGACCGAAAGTCTCTCAGAGTTGATGACAGATTGATTGAAGTTGACAGAGGGGCATTTCCAGTTTAAAGCGTTCTATGTTCATCGGTCCAAACACTTGTTACACACGACTTATCACCCCGGGAGGGCGAGGAGGCCTTTTGGCCGCTGGTCAGTCCAGGTTTCTGAGATGGGTGTAAGAGGAGCGTGAGAATATGGACAGGCCTCCGCATCAGACGAAAAGGAAGACAGGAAAGCGTGATGGTAACAAAAGAAGTGATAGGCTCACTAGTCTATACACATGGTGTATCGCCAGACGTTGGACAGTTCTTTTTTCAATTGTAAAAGCTCTTGTGCTCGATAAGGTAAAATACAAACACAAACAACAACATGACTCCTCACTCCATGAATGTCCCATAGTGCAAAATTTATTGTTGGTAAGGTAGTACCCAGAAAGTATTTTTTTTGTACCCCTTTCAATTATATACATATATTATTTATATATAATGTCAGAAGGCTCTTCCTTTATCCAACAGCATAGTGCTTTCGTTTTTAACAAAGGGATATCTTCGCTTTGACATCCAGGAGACAAGACAGACTTCAAGCTTTCTAATCTACACTATGTTCAAGCACTTCCAATATTTACTGCATATTACAGATGCAGTTGAGGGGGGGGCATCGAGATATTCAATCAAAATATATGTTCTCTCTAACCTAGAAATGGCATTTCAGCTGTATTCTTGTCCGTATCAATGTTCCTTATTTCATATGATTCACAATCTAGCTCTTCTTCCCTTTACTTACTAGTATGAAGGCCTATGTCAATCAAGCATTTGAGTTTCTTTCCAACACAAGGTTGTCTTCTTTGCCACAACCATCATAACATTCCCACCATAGCAACTTGGCAGAATACATTTGGTCCTCTTATCATTAGGTTTGTTTGTGTAAATGGGAATGGTAAATGCAGAGTGAAAATGCGTTTACACAGGTAGCCCAAGTCTGATCTTTTTTTCACTAATTTGTCTTTTGATCAATCAGGTCCACTCTGAAAAAGATCTGATGTGATTGGTCAAAAGACCAATTAGTGGGAAAAAGATCAGAATTGGCTTGCCTGTGTAAACACTGCCTAAGTAGGCTATATTCATGTGGACCAGATTATTCAATGTACTTGTGGGGTTCCCTTTCACTGTGGATTTACTAATCTGACAATTACAGTAGTGTAAACTGGCACCCTTGCATGATTCCCATATTCTTGATTTAGTTGATATGTAATAGATATTCAAAGATGGGCTATACAAAGAAAGCTCTAACAAGCCAAAACTTTAATTCTAAAATTGCGTGTCCTAGACCACACAGAAAGTGTTATGAGTGTAGCTTTGACATGTTAGTTCATCTAAACTTTGTGCGCAGGTTGATATCGAGGTCATCTGAGCTGTTATGTGAGCTTCTGCAATAAAACAGATAGAAAGAATGTGTATTACAACCCTTTCCTGTTCACGTTTAAATGTCCAATGCAGGTGCTTTTATCTCAATATCAAATCATTTCTTGGTAACAATTAAGTAACTTACTGTGATTGTTTTCAATTAAAATAGTCAAAAAGAAACAAAAATAGCTTCTTAGCGAAAAGCTATTTCTCAAGCAATAATTTTGCTTGGACTGTCTGGAGTGGTCTGAGTGAGGGGCCTAATTGGAGGAGGCTAATGGGAAGGACATGTAACCTGAAAACTAGCTGTTATTGGGAGAGTTCGTTTTGCATGGCCCGGTGCCTCGGGTGGCTGGAGATTTCACTTAAGGACAAATGGAATGGTCTAAAATGTACAAACTCCGCCTACCCAGGTCACCGGGCCATGCAAAATGAACTTGCCCATTGTCAGAAAAGGAGGGCAAACTCTCTGTTATTGGTTTATTAACTTATACCACCTGGTGATGTCGCCAGGCGGTCCAAAACCCCACCCTTGCAAAACAAGCTGACATTTCAGGCAGTCTTTTCAAACAGCTCTTACACTAAAAGGGCATTATCATAATTTTCACAATTTCACAGTATTATTCCAACCTCAGTGTGGAAATATATATAAAACACAGTAAAATCACGTTTTTGACTGCACTGCCCCTTTAAAGGTAGTGAAATAACTCCTTTCTTATTTTCTTATTTCTCTCAAAGTAACTGTGAAAGGGTTCAGAGGGCACAGAGTTTGGCTTTAGATCTCAACACTTTACACCTCTAGAACATGATTATTTTCATAAACAACATTTTGGATTCATTTCATAAACTTTTAGTCTAAAAGTAGACAAGTAAGGGAGATTTGTTTTGTAATGACGTAATGATGCTAAAAGTGAAGCATTGCACAATAGCACTGATAATTAGTAGACGAAGTCCCCATCTATTGGCACTGTCTATGAATGTCTTGGTTGTGAATCAAATCCCATTGATAGGAGTATAATATGTGAATAAAGCGTTTTGAACAGATAAAACAGTTTGGCCCCTCACCTCAGAACTGAATTTGCTTGGAAGTAATGATGTGGGAAAATTATAATATACTGTAACTGTTTAGGAATGTCTCCCTCCATCTGCCTGGATCCACTATCCAGGACATCTCAACAAAGACACCATCTTTTCAAAAACCTGATAGACATTTTCTTTCAAAAAACTATTTGAAGAAAACCAACCACAAAACGAACAAACACCTAAAACATAGTTTTGTCTTATTTACCATACGTTTCTCAAGCTGCTCCACAGACACACCCCCTTTATAATATTCAATATATATTTCTACCACTCAGCCTCAGTCCTATCTTCATTTCATATTTCATTTTTACATGTTTGACTAAAATGAATAACTAAGAGAATGGAGGTCCAGTGGGATGTTTTGTGGCGGAGAGAGAAGGGGGATAAAGTCTGGTGCCAGAGGAGAGCTTAGTTAGGGTTTTGGGTGGAAATTATGTGGAGTTGGGCGTGCATGAGTATGCATGACTTCCGTTGGGCCTAAGAGCAGCCACACCTGTCCACCACCATGCCAGGGATCTTGCCGTGGATAATCTGCTGCTTGTCGTTGAAGTAGAGCATGTTGATGGGCGACATCTTGGTGGGGGTGCAGCAGGGCCCTGCTGAGCCTCTGGGGTTGGCGTGTTGTACCAGGTGGGTGTGTGGATACTTCTGCATGAACATGTATTCGCACTGGCCTGAACAGTAGTTGGCCTTATAGCGCTTGGGAGCGATGATCCAGTCCCAGCCGAAAGCCTCAAAGTCCACTGTCAGCGGATAGCGGCAGCAGCGGGATTCGGTGGAATGCTCGTCACAGTCCAGTCCCAGGTTACGTCGGGAACGTTTGGTCGTCTCGAGAACCTTAACCTCCAGGAACGGCTGCTGGAGTCAGGGGAGAGGGGAGGGGGAGGGGGAGGGGAAGGGGTGGGGGCGGGGACAGGAGGAAAATGGAGGCGATTACGATAGAACTCAACAGTGAGGTAAGTAATGCTTCTAGGAAAAAGCCTGGGGTACTGGGACGATTAATGTCACTGGAGAAAAAATTCAACTGATGCACTCCTCTAAATGCCGTTTACTACCTATGGTTTTAACAGGGTTGGGGAGTAACTGATTACATGTAATCTGATTACCAGAAAACTGTAACTAATCAGTTACGTTACCAGCAAAAATATTGTACTCGGATTACAGATACTTTTTGAAAAACTAGATTACTTATTGGATTACTTTTAAATTCAGAAAGGATGTATCTGAAAAAATCCGCATTGACACCTTTCTGTTTTCTCATTGACATTCAATCAGCATTGAAAAGAGGCACAAATTGAAGTTTGTTCCACCAGAGACCACTATGATGATACATCAAATGCATTTGACAGATCTTTTTTGTCTTCTTCTAATGCCTCTTAAGGGGAAATAATTGTATTGGCGCGTACACATATTTTGCAGACGTTTTCGCGGTTGTAGCGAAATGCTTATGTTCCTAGCTCCAACAGTGCAGTAATACATAACAATACACGTAAATCCCAAAAATAAAAAGAGAGGAATTAAGAAATATATAAATATTAGAACGAGCAATGTCAGAGTCCGCAATATAAATATACTGTATATGTATATGATGGTGTGTAGACATTATGAACAGTATATGAATAGAAAAAATGTGTGCAGTAGTTATATAGGATGAGCCTGGACTAGAATACAGTACAGTGGGGAAAAAAAGTATTTAGTCAGCCACCAATTGTGCAAGTTCTCCCACTTAAAAAGATGAGAGAGGCCTGTAATTTTCATCATAGGTACACGTCAACTATGATAGACAAATTTAGAAAATAAAATCCAGAATTTATTTGCAAATTATGGTGGAAAATAAGTATTTGGTCACTTACAAACAAGCAAGATTTCTGGCTCTCACAGACCTGTAACTTCTTCTTTAAGAGGCTCCTCTGTCCTCCACTCGTTACCTGTATTAATGGCACCTGTCTGAACTTGTTATCAGTATAAAAGAAACCTGTCCACAACCTCAAACAGTCACACTCCAAACTCCACTATGGCCAAGACCAAAGAGCTGTCAAAGGACACCAGAAACAAAATTGTAGACCTGCACCAGGCTGGGAAGACTGAATCTGCAATAGGTAAGCAGCTTGGTTTGAAGAAATCAACTGTGGGAGCAATTATTAGGAAATGGAAGACATACAAGACCACTGATAATCTCCCTCGATCTGGGGCTCCACGCAAGATCTCACCCCGTGGGGTCAAAATGATCACAAGAACGGTGAGCAAAAATCCCAGAACCACACGGGGGGACCTAGTGAATGACCTGCAGAGAGCTGGGACCAAAGTAACAAAGCCTACCATCAGTAACACACTACGCTGCCAGGGACTCAAATCCTGCAGTGCCAGACGTGTCCCCCTGCTTAAGCCAGTACATGCCCAGGCCCGTCTGAAGTTTGCTAGAGTGCATTTGGATGATCCAGAAGAGGATTGGGAGAATGTCATATGGTCAGATGAAACCAAAATAGAACTTTTTGGTAAAAACTCAACTCGTCGTGTTTGGAGGACAAAGAATGCTGAGTTGCATCCAAAGAACACCATACCTACTGTGAAGCATGGGGGTGGAAACATCATGCTTTGGGGCTGTTTTTCTGCAAAGGGACCAGGACGACTGATCCGTGTAAAGGAAACAATGAATGGGGCCATGTATCGTGAGATTTTGAGTGAAAACCTCCTTCCATCAGTAAGGGCATTGAAGATGAAACGTGGCTGGGTCTTTCAGCATGACAATGATCCCAAACACACCGCCCGGGCAACGAAGGAGTGGCTTCGTAAGAAGCATTTCAAGGTCCTGGAGTGGCCTAGCCAGTCTCCAGATCTCAACCCCATAGAAAATCTTTGGAGGGAGTTGAAAGTCTGTGTTGCCCAGCGACAGCCCCAAAACATCACTGCTCTAGAGGAGATCTGCATGGAGGAATGGGCCAAAATACCAGCAACAGTGTGTGAAAACCTTGTGAAGACTTACAGAAAACGTTTGACCTGTGTCATTGCCAACAAAGGGTATATAAAAAAGTATTGAGAAACTTTTGTTATTGACCAAATACTTATTTTCCACCATAATTTGCAAATAAATTCATAAAAAATCCTACAATGGGATCTTCTGGATTATTTTTTCTCATTTTGTCTGTCATAGTTGACGTGTACCTATGATGAAAATTACAGGCCTCTCTCATCTTTTTAAGTGGGAGAACTTGCACAATTGGTGGCTGACTAAATACTTTTTTCCCTCACTGTATATACTGTACATATGAAGTGGTTAAAACAGTATGTAAACATTATTAAAGTGAGTCTCTAAGGTGCAGGGTTGAGTACCAGGTGGTAGCCGGCTAGTAACAGTCACTAAAGTTCAGGGCAGGGTATTGGGCGGGGCCGGTTAGTGGTGACTATGGCCTGGAGATAGAAGCTGTTTTTCAGTCTCTCGGTGCCAGCTTTGATGCACCTGTACTGTCTCCGACTTCTAGATGGTAGCGGGGTGAACAGGCCATGGCTCGGGTGTCTGGTGTCCTTGATGATCTTCTTGGCCTTCCTGTGACCCTGGGTGTGCAGTAGATGTCCTGAAGGGAAGGCAGTGTGCCCCCGGTGATGTGTTGGGCTGACCGCACCACCCGCTGGAGAGCCCTGCTGTTGCCAGGCGGTTATACAGCCTGACAGGATGCTCTCAATGGTGTATCTGTAGAAGTTCACTAGGGTTTTAGGGGCCAAGTCGAATTTCTTCAGCCTCCTGAGGTTGAAGAGGCACTGTTGCACTGCCTTCGCCACACTGTCTTTGTGGATGGACCATTTCAGGTTGTCAGTGATGTTTACACCGAGGAACTTGAAGCTTTTCACCGTCTCCACTGCGGTCCCGTCGATGTGGATAGGGGCGTGCTCCCTCTGCTGTCTCGTGAAGTCCATGATCAGCTCCTTCATTTTGTTGACGTTGAGGGAGAGGTTATTTTCCTTGCACCACTCCGCCAGGGCCCTCACCTCCTCCCTATAGGCTGTCTCGTTGTGTCGTCTGCAAACTTGATGATTGAGTTGGAGACGTGAGTGGCCATGCAGTCATAGGTGAACAGGGAGTACAGGAGGGGGCTGAGCACTCACCCTTGTGGGGCCCCCGTGTTGAGGATCAGCGTAGCGGAGGTGTTGTTGCCTACCTTCACCTGGGGTCGGCCCGTCAGGAAGTCCAGGACCCAGTTGCACAGGGCGGGGTTCAGACCCAGGGCCCCGAGCTTAGTGATGAGCTTGGAGGGTAATATGGTGTTGAAGGCTGAGCTGTAGTCGATGAACAGCATTCTTAAATAGGTATTCCTCTTGTCCAGATGGGATAGGGCAGTGTGCAGTGCAATGGCGATTGTGTCATCCGTAGATCTGTTGTGGTGGTATGCAAATTTTAGTGGGTCTCGGGTGTCGGGTAAGGTGGAGGTGATATGATGGCGGCAGGTAGTCTAGCGGTTAAGAGCATTGGGCCAGTAATCGAAAGGTCGCTGGTTCGAATCCCTTAGCCAACTAGGTGAAAAATCTGTCGATGTGCCCTTGAGCAAGGCACTTAACCCTAATTGCTCCTGTAAGTCATTCTGGATAAAAGCGTCTGCGAAATGACTAAAATGTAAATGTAACTAGCCTCTCAAAGCACTTTATGATGACAGAAGTGAGTGCTACGGGGCGATAGTCATTTAGTTCAGTTACCTTTGCTTTCTTGGGTACAGGAACAATGGTGGACATCTTGAAGCAAGTGGGGACAACAGACTGGGATAGGGAGAGATTACATATGTAAACATTTCAGCCAGCTGGTCTGCACATGCTCTGAGGACGCGGCTAGGGATGTCGTCTGGGCCTGCAGTCTTGCGAGGGTGAGCACGCTTAAATGTCTTACTCATGTCGGCCACAGAGAACGTAATCCGATTACGTTACTGAGTTTGGGTAATCCAAAAGTTAGGTTACTGATTATGATTTTGGACATGTAACTAGTAAATGTAACGGATTACATTTAAAAAGTGCCCTACCCAACCCTGGGTTTTAAAGACAGAATACTGAGAGGAAGATGTGAGTCATATCAGTAGATGCAATGCTGACCTCTGTTAACATAAATGGAATGGCCAACATTCCATACGCTTAGCTTGATCTATGATCTTTGGCGTCATCCGCAGGTTACCATAACCTTGACCCTTGGGCATGTGAGAGCAGCCAATATGTTACTCCAGCATCTCTCCACAGAAAACCCAATTGGACTTGAGCACAGTTTTTTGTGACGCTTTCAACAGAATAAATAAGCTGAGGCCAGAAGGGTCAACCCACGTCAGCTTGAGTTTTAGGGCTTTTGTTGCAGTGGGGGAAAGCAAAAAACTGGAGGATCAGGGGGGAGTTTGCCTCTTTCTTTGCTTTTTGTGTTTTGTTTTATTTTTGTACACAGCCTCTGTGTCTCTGATCTTTTCTTTCTTCTCCTTAAGAAAAACAGAGCTTGCTGCTGTGCAAGGATTCATTGGCTGAGAGGCCAGAGTCAACCCCTGGGCCATGCTGTGAAGAACTGAACCAAATGAAATTACTAGTGGGTTACCATTTCGTGATGCTTAATGGGGCTGAAACTTGACTTACTGTATGTAGTAATTTGGGTTTGAGAATGGCTAGCTGGGGCCCAACCAAATCTTGCTTAGGGCCCCCAAAAGGCTAGAGTCGGCCCTGCCAATGGCGCTCAAGTGATCTTTCCTTGATTCTTCGCATCCTATCTCCCTGCCTATTTCTCAACCGTATTGGAGGAGAAGGTCCAAGGTCCCTCCCTTTGGACCTTCTTCTCCAATGCATTTTGAGAAGGAGGCGTGAAGAGAGGATGCCAGGGATCGAGGAGAGATTTATTTACATTGGGGTTTTCTCATTTGGGCAAAAGACCATCCCCTCTCCTCCGTGACCCAGAAACCGATAAGTGGTCGAGTGGTGGAAGAGTGTTAGTTCATTAGTAGGCAAACGGAAGAGTGTCCTCCCCTCCTCGATAGCCACCTTTCATCGATGATACTCATGTGTATCCTACCACGGAAGAGTTTTGATATCTGCCACACCCCTTTTGAATCAGCCCTTGTTTTGTCAGAGGAGAAAAACATGCATACATTTAAAAACAAAATGCTGCTTATTGTTTTATCTATAACATGTCTTGCACAACTTAATTCGTTTTTTTTTATCACTTTACACATTTATTTTGGGATCCACCCCTGTAAACGTCATTTGCCTAATGACGCGCGAGTGGAGAAGGACCGTCTCATTTCAAGCGCATTGCCATCCACGTTCCCTCTCCTCGCCGACTCTCCTCGATTAACTTTGACCTTTTTCAAAAAGAGGCGAGAGAGGACGCAGGAGGTGAGCAAATCTAATTGATAAAAGGCCAAAGTGCCATTGTGTCAGTGTGTAAGGCTGCGACAGGTCTGAGGGTCCTTACCAGCCCTTCCTCCCCCGGTCTTAGCGAGGTCACTGCCAGGTCGTTGCCGCTCTCATCGAAGGCGTTGATGTCGATCCCCCAGTTGGTGTGCGGCTGCTTGAACCAGTTCTGCAGCACGTTTTTGAAGTCGATGCTCTGCCAGTGGCCCACGCGGGAGTTGAGCTCGATCTTCAACGAGCGGATCCGGATGTGGCGGCTGCCCTGCTCCGTGACGGGCTTCAGCCTGAGGATCTGCAGGTAGATGGTGGAGGTCTGCTGCAGTGGCCGTAGGTACACCCACAGCTGAGCCTTCAGAACCTTGGTGAACATGAGCTTGGGGCTGAACTTGAAGAAGCAGCAGCTGGGCTTGCCATCCACCTGCACCAAGGGCTCCGCTGTGGGACAGAGACAGAGAGGGTTTCCACATGAATAAAGGTTTAATATCTGTAAATACAGGTAACTGCCAAAATAATGGAAACACTTGAGTAAATGAGGGATACAAAGTATATTGAAAGCAGGTGCTTCCACACAGGTGTGGTTCCTGAGTTAATCAAGCAATTAACATCCCATCATGCTTAGGGTCATGTAAAAAAATGCTGGGCAGGCCATTATTTTGGCTACCATGGCTATGCCCCCATAGGAAGGCAATGCACCCATCCACAGGGCACGAGTGGTCACTGAATGGTTTGATGAGCATGAAAACGATGTAAATCATATACCATGGCCTTCTCAGTCACCAGATCTCAACCCAATTGAACACTTATGGGAGATTCTGGAGTGGCGCCTGAGACACCGTTTTCCACCACCATCAACAAAACACCAAATGATGGAATTTCTTGTGGAAGAATGGTGTCGCATCCCTCCGATAGAGTTTCAGACACTATGGCATCTATGAAGCTGTTCTGGCTCGTGGTGGCCCAATACCCTATTAAGACACTTTATGTTGGTGTTTCCTACTCATTCAAGGGTTTTTCTTTATTTTTACTATTTTCTACATTGTAGAATAATAGTGAAGACATCAAAACTATGAAATAACACATATGGAATCATGTAGTAACCAAAGAAGTGTTAAACAAATCAAAATATATTTTATATTTGAGATTCTTCAAATAGCCACGCTTTGCCTTGATGACAGCTTTGCACACTCTTGGCATTCTCTCAACCAGCTTCACCTGGAATGCTTTTCCAACAGTCTTGAAGGAGTTCCCACACATGCTTAGCAATTGTTGGCTGCTTTTCCTTCACTCTGGGGTCCAACTCATGAAGGCCTGATTCACACAGTCCCCTCTGAACAGTTGATGTTGAGATGTGTCTGTTACTTGAACTCTGTGAAGCATTTATTTGGGCTGCAATTTCTGAGGCTGGTAACTCTAATGAACTTATCCTCTGCAGCAGAGGTAACTCTGGGTCTTCCATTCCTGTGGTGGTCCTCATGAGAGCCAATTTCATCATAGCGCTTGATGGTTTTTGCGACTGCACTTGAAGAAACTTTCAAAGTTAATGTTTTAAATTAATGATGGACTGTCGTTTCTCTTTGCTTGTTTGAGCTGTTCTTGCCATAATATGGACTTGGTCTTTTACCAAATAGGGCTATCTTCTGTATACCCCCCACTACCTTGTCACAACACAACTGATTGGCTCAAACGCATTAAGAAGGAAAGAAATTCCACAAATTAACTTTTAAGAAGGCACACTTGTTAATTGAAATGCATTCCACCTTCTACCTCATGAAACTGGTTGAGAGAATGCCAAGAGTGTGCAGTTGTCATCAAGGCAAAGGGTGGCTATTTGAAGAATCTCAAAATATATTTTGATTTGTTAAACACTTTTTTGGTTACTACATGATTCCATATGTGTTATTTAATAGTTTTGATGTCTTCACTATTATTCTACAATGTAAACATTTTTAAAAGTAAAGAAAAACCTTTGAATTAGTAGGTGTGTCCAAACTTTTGACTGGTAGTGTACATACGAGATCACAAACAAGGTGTCAGCATTTAAATGATGATCAATGACACTGGACTGGAGCATGGCTTTACAAATATCAGTGTAGCGTTGTATGTTTATCTATGTTGTCAATATCTTCTTTCATACTTTAAGATGGTTAAAAAGGTATTGCCTTTGAAAAAACGACTTCACATTTTGAGAGACTACCAACATTTTGTAAATGTTACAGCTAACTAAGATGACGGGTCAAACGAAGCCTCTAAATCCAATGAGTGGTTTTGCCAGACATCATAGTGACATCATAGTGAAGATATCAGTTATCATGGTGGAGCACGGGAGCTATTATCATATTGCTTTATACCTCCAATCCTTTCAGTTCTACACAGTGCCTAGGGGGAAGGGGCTTGGGTCGATTTGGAATTGAGCAACTGACTTATGTCACCCAATGGGAGCTCAACCATTGGTTTACACAACTAAATAACTGACACAGCATGGAGATCCCGCCTAATGTGGGGATCAGAGGTCAAAACCAATCTCCACACAGCTGCCACCAAAATCACCGGCAGGAGGAGGGATGGGGAGTTAGATGGGTGTCAGAAGAGGCAGGAAAACAGCTAAGCAACACTAACCATCAAATGGTTAATAGATCCCTTGAGCAAACTCATTATCGAACCGTCAGTTAAACCATCAAAATAATTTGCCGTTTTGGAGCCACTTTTAGTCTAGATCCAGTAAACTAACATTAGTGGAGATTTGAATGGGCTCTGTAGAGCTAAACTGTATGATATAGTAATTTGGGGACAATACATACTCTCTGTAACACCCAAATTACAAGTTATGGTTAATGTTGGTAGACTGCAGATAGTTTGGTCTTGAAGCAGACAGCCGAGAGTGTTAATGATCTAGACTGAATAAAGGCTTGTGTTCCCTCTCATTGTTCTCTGCTGAGAAGTGTGTTGCTGCCTCATTTTAACATAAAGTGCAGGGACCTGTCAATCATTGCTAAATCTGAGGTTGCTCATGCAACCTGCAAAGGCTTCCTGGGTCAAAAGGTCATTTTGGCACCTCGGCCTAGTTAAGAAATGGGGTCAGGGGTCAAAACTGTCACCCTTTTACATCCTCGGGGTGCTGGGGAGGGGCAGTCCTAATGGCCAAATTGAGTTTGAAGGTCAAGGTCGAACCTATGGCAATGGTAATGTGTTTTTCTTCACAACAGTCCTTTTCACACAGAGAACCCATTTGATATTTCAAAGGTATAGAACTTATTCATCCACAATTATTATTGTGTTTTGGGTGGGGTTTTAGCAGCCAATGGTGAATTGTTTACCAGACTTCGACTGACTGGAAGAGAACACAGAACAATACTTTTTTTTTTACACTGAACAAGTGTTGTAATTGATTTACTGGGCATGCATAGAGGAATATGAATTCAATGAGGTAAAGATAGAATCATATCCATTAGAAGAGTCCAGAGGAACATTGAATAAGTGCCAAGCGAGGGACAGACGTGGTCCTTCAGCCTGTATTACGAGGGCCAGTCATTAGTGAGTGTAAATTATACAGTGTCTCACGCTGGACAAACAATATGTCAATGTTCCTTTTGGTGGGTTGCTTGGGTCGCAGCAATTAACGTGTTGTGTTGTTGTTGTGTTTGCTCATCAGCACCAAACCGGGAATGAATGATTCTGCAGTTTTCTCCGGGTTTACTTGAGATTACTATATGTTGTTGTTTTTCTGATGCATAGTGAAGGGTGAAACTTCACCAATGCCTTTCCATGCTGTCTCTTTTATCCACATGAACAACTAACCAATAGCTGAAAGAAAAGACTCACTTGAAACAACCGGTTTCAGTTGCTTTGGCAATTCACGTTCTTCTATATGTCTTCTGCAATAAGCTGAGGCCTAAAGTAGAGTTTCCTACGTAATCTGAGATGCAGGTTTTTGTTGGTCATGCTACATTTAGTGCCATATAACAGTAAGTTATTAAACACACATGTACAACATATGAGCTAGATCATTCTAAACAATGAGAGCATTGATGGGTAAAATCAATTTGTGCCTTTATAGAGCGTGAATGGGAAAACATTTTAGGGAAACTCAGTGAAACGTGCATACCTGCAGCCTAATTATGTCATATACCTTGGCAGAACTTTCCACCCGTATTAAATGAGGGAGGCTTGTAAAGATCACTCAAAACCAATGGGATTTTAAGCCCCGGCCTGAAATAGCTTGATCCCTGTTGCCAGGAAATATTACTGATGAATAGAGTTAAATATTTTCCTGCCCGTGGGGTGTATTAACATTTATGTGTCTTAATTTCCTGTACCCATTTCTTTATTACAGAAGACCCCTCCCCAATCCCCCAGTCTCCTTACCTCTTTATCCAAACCTGGGGCACAAGCTCAGGTTTTGCATACAGCACCACCTACTGGTGCAATGACAACCTCTCTCTCATCAGAGTCCCTGCTACCTACCTCCTCTCAGAAACATAGCCGCTGGAAGAATTTTGGGAATGGGGGTGCTGCGATTTGTCGCACTACAGACGGCTGTATCGGTCCACTAATGCAGGACTAGTAAAGGCCCAGTGCAATGACAACCCCTCTACTTTTGTGAATTGATCATTTTATTTTTATATTCATATTTTTCAGGAGGTGCTGCAGCACCCTCAGCACCTCTACTTCCTGCGGCTATACTCAGAAACACAATTCAACTGTTGACTGAGATATCAACCTTCACCTACTTCTGGCTTTTCTTACAAAGACAACCAAGAAGGACGCATACATGTACAGTTGAAGTCGGAAGTTTACATACACCTTAGCTAAATACATTTAAACTCAGTTTTTCACAATTCCTGACATTTAATCCTAGTAAAAAATCATTGTCTTAAGTCAGTTAGGATCACCACTTTATTTTAAGAATGTGAAATGTCAGAATAATAGTAGAGAGTGATTTATTTCAGCTTTTATTTATTTCATCACATTCCCAGTGAGTCAGAAGTTTACATACACTCAATTAGTATTTGGTAGCATTGTCTTTAAATTGTTTAACTTGGGTCAGATGTTATCGGGTAGCCTTCCACAAGCTTCCCACAATAAGTTGGGTGAATTTTGGCCCATTCCTCCTGACAGAGCTGGTGTAACTGAGTCAGGTTTGTAGACCTCCTTGCTCGCACACGCTTTTTCAGTTCTGCCCACAAATGTTCTATATGATTGAGGTCAGGGCTTTGTGATGGCCACTCCAATACCTTGACTTTGTCCTTAAGCCATTTTGCCACAACTTTGGAAGTATGCTTGGGGTCATTGTCCATTTTGAAGACCCATTTGCGACCAAGCTTTAACTTCCTGACTGATGTCTTGAGATGTTGCTTCAATATATCCACATACTTTTCCTTCCTCATGATGCCATCTATTTTGTGAAGTGCACCAGTCCATCCTGCAGCCAAGCAACCCCACAGCATGATGCTGCCACCCCCGTGCTTCACGATTGGGATGGTGTTCTTCGGCTTGCAAGATATCCCCTTTTTTTTTACAGATGAACGTGGTACCTTCAGGCGTTTGGAAATTGCTCCCAAGGATGAACCAGACTTGTGGAGGTCTATAATTATTTTTCTGAGGTCTTGGCTGATTTCTTTTGATTTTCCCATGATGTCAAGCAAAGAGGCACTGAGTTTGAAGGTAGGCCTTGAAATACATCCACAGGTACACCTCCAATTGACTCAAATGATGTCAATTAGCCTATCAGAAGCTTCTAAAGCCATGACATCATTTTCTGGAATTTTCCAAGCTGTTTAAAGGCACAGTCAATTTAGTGTAAACTTCTAACCCACTGGAATTGTGATACAGTGAATTATAAGTGAAATCATCTGTGTGTAAACAATTGTTGGAAAGATTACTTGTGTCATGCACAAAGTAGATGTCCTAACCGACTTGCTAAAACTATAGTTTGTTAACAAGAAATGTGTGGAGTGGTTGAAAAACGAGTTTTAATGATTCCAACCTAAGTGTATGTATACTTCCGACTTCAACTGTAAGCGTGAGCGGTGTTTCAAATCAAATCAAATATTATTTGTCACATGCTTCGTAAACAACAGGTGTAGACTAACAGTGAAATGCTTACGGGCCCTTCCCAACAATACAGAGAGAAAAATTTAGAAAAAATAGAATAAATTCACAATGAGTAACGATAACTTGGCTATATACACGTACCAGTACTGAGTCGATGTGCAGGAGTACGAGGTAATAAAGGTACAGTGCCTTTAGAAAGTATTCATACCCGTTGACTTATTCCATATTTTGTTGTGTTACAGCCTGAATTCAAAAGTGATTCAATATATGTTTTTTCTCACCCATCTACACACAATACTCCATAATGACAAAGTGAAAACATGTTTTTAGACATTTTTGAAAATTTGATTGAAATACAGAAATATCTAATTTACATAAGTACTGCCACCCCTGAGTCAATACTTTGTAGAAGCACCTTTGGCAGCAATTACAGCTGTGAGTCTTTCTGGGTAAGTCTCTAAGAGCTTTCCACACTTGGATTGTGCAACATTTGCCCATTATTCTTTTCAAAATTCATCAAGCTCTGTCAAATTGGTTGTTGATCATTGCTAGACAACCATTTTCAGGTCTTGCCATAGATTTTCAAGTAGATTTAAGTAAAAACTGTAACTCGGCCACTCAAGAACATTAACTGTTCTTGGTAAGCAACTCAAGTGTAGATTTGGCCTTGTGTTTTAGGTTATTGTCCTGCTGAAAGGTGAACTAATCTCCCAGTGTCTGGTGGAAAGGTTTTCCTCTAGGATTTTGCCTGTGCTTAGCTCCATTCCATTTCTTTTTTATCCTGAAAAACTCCACAGATCTTAACGATTACAAACATACCCATAACATGATGCATCCACCACTATGCTTGAAAATATGGAGAGTGGTACTTAGCAATGTGTTGTATTGGATTTGCCCCAAACATAACATTTTGTATTCAGGACAAAGTTAATTGCTTTTTCAAAATGTTTGCAGTATTACTTTCGTGCCTTGTTGCAAACAGGATGTATGTTTTGGAATATTTTTATTCAGTGTACAGGCTTCCTTCTTTTCACTCCGTCAATTAGGTTAGTATTGTTGATCCATCCTCAGTTTTCTCCTATCACAGCCATTAAACTCTGTAACTGTTTTAAAGTCGCCATTGGCCTCATGTTGAAATCCCTGAGTTTCCTTCCTTTACGGCAACTGAGTTAGGAAGGACACCTGTGTCTGTATTGTTACACCATCCAAAGTTTAATTAATAACTTCACCATGCTCAATGTCTGCTTTTTTATTTTTACTCATCTACCAATAAGTGCCCTTCTTTACGAGGCATTGGAAAACTTCCACGGTCTTTGTGGTTGAATCTGTGTTTGAATTTCACTGCTCGACTGAGGGACCTTACAGATAAATGTATGTGTGGGATACAGAGATGAGGTAGTCATTCAAAAATCATCTATTATTACTCCTGAACTTATTTAGGCTTGTCATAACAAATGGGTTGAACACTTATTGACTGAAGACATTTCAGCTTTTCATTTGCAATTAATTTGTAAACATTTCGAAAAACATATTTCCACTTTGACATTATGGGGTATTGGGTGTAGGCCAGTGACAACAAATCTTAATTGAATCCATTTTAAATTAAGGCTGTAACACAACAAAATGTGGAAAAAGTCAAGGGGTGTGAATACTTTCTGAAAGCACTGTAGATGTGTACATAATAGGTAGGGGTAAAGTGACTAGGCAATAGGATAGATAATAAACAGTAGCAGCGGCATATGTGATGAGTCAATAGAGTTAGTGCAAAGAGGGTCAATGCCGATAGTCCGGGTAGCTATTTGGTCCTGGAGCTCGGCCCCAGTGATGTACTGGGCTGTATGCACTACCCTCTGTAGCGCCTTGTGGTCGGATGCCAAGCAGTTGCCATACCAAGCTGTGATGCAGCCAGTCAAGATGCTCTCAATAGTGCAGCTGTAGAACTTTTGGAGGATCTGATGGCCAATGCCAAATCCTTTCAGCCTCCTGAGGGGGAAGAGGTGATGTCATGCCTTCTTCACGACTGTGTTGGTGTGTGTGGACTATGTTAATTCCTTAGTGATGTGAACACCGAGGATCTTGAAGCTCTCAACCCGCTCCACTACAGCCCTGTGGTTGTGGATGGGGTGTGCTCGGCCCTTCCGTTTCTTGTAGTTCACGATCAGCTCCTTTGTCTTGCTGACGTTGAGGGAAAGGTTGTTGTCCTCGCACCACACTGCCAGGTCACTGACCTCCTCTCTATAGGCGGGCTCATCGTCGCCGGTGATACCACCGTCGTGTCATCATAAAACGTAATGATGATGTTGGAGTCGTGCACGGCCATGTAGTCATTGGTGAACAGGGAGTACAGGAGGGGACTCAGCACGCACCCTTGAGGGGCCCCCGTGTTGAGGGTCAATGTGGCGGATGTGTTGTTTTCTACCTTCACCACCTGGGGGCGTCCCGTCAGAATGTCCAGGATCCAGTTGCAGAGGGAGGTGTTCATTCCCAGGGCCCTGAGCTTAGTGATGAGCTTGGAGGGCACTATAATATATAATATAATATGCCATTTAGCAGACGCTTTTATCCAAAGCTACTTACAGTCATGCGTGCATACATTTTTGTGTATGGGTGGTCCCGGGGATCGAACCCACTACCTTGGCGTTACAAGCGTTACAAGCACCGTGCTCTACCAGCTGAGCTACAGAGGACCATATGGTGTTGAACGCTGAACTGTAGTCAATGAACAACATTCTCACATAGGTGGTCCTCTTGTCCAGGTGGGAGAGGGCAGTGTGGAGTGCAATAGAGATTGCGTCATCTGTGGATCTGTTGAGGTAGTATGCGAATTGGAGTGGGTCCAGGGTGTCTGGGATGATGGTGTTGATGTGAGCCATGACCAGCCTTTCAAAACATTTCATGGCTACAGATGTGAGTGCTATGGGGCAATAGTCATTTAGACAGGTTACTTTGTCATTCTAGGGCACAGGGACTATGGTGGTCTGCTTGAAACATGCAGGTATTACAGAATGAGTCAGGGAGGTTGAAAATGTCAGTGAAGACACCCGCCAGCTGGTCAGTGCATGCTCTGAGTATGCGTCCTGGTAATCTGTCTGGCCCAGAGGTTAACCTGTTTACTCAAACATCTGTGTGTGGAGTAAAGGTGATCTAGCATTTTGTTTTCTCAAGTTGCACTGGTGACATGTTGGTAAAACGGATTTCAGTTTCCCTGCATTAAAATCACTGGCCACGAGAAGCGCCGCCTCTGGAAGTGAATTTTCTTGTTTGCTTATGGCCCTATACTGCTTGTTGAGTGCAGTCTTAGTGCCATCATCAGTTTGTGGTGGTAAATATATAGCTACGAAAAATATAGATGAAAACTCTCTTAGTAAATAGTATGGTCTGCAGCTTGTCATGAGATATTCTAACTCAGGCGAGCAAAAACTTGAGACTTCCCTAACATTAGAGATCACGCACCAGCTGTTGTTAACTAAGAGACACACCCCTCCCTCTCTCAGCTTAGCCAAAGCTGCCATCCGATCTTGACGATGGAAAAGCCAGCGAGGTGTATAATATCCATGTTCTTGTTCAGCCACGACTCCGAGAAACAGGATATTATAGTTCTTCAGGTCCCGTTGATAGGATAGTCCCGAACGGAGCTCGTCCAGTTTGTTCTCTAGAGATGGCGTTCTACATGCTCGCCGACGGAGTCTAATCATGATGCCGCCTCGCTTGCCTCTCTTTTGCCGCCGCTTCCTCTTTCGAGTCCCGGTGATCAGGACCTGGTCCAGGGTAAGCATAACATCCAGAGCTGCCGACTCATTGAAGTAGAAATCTTCATCCAAATCGAGGTTAGTAATCGCTGTTCAGATGTCCATAAGCTGTTTTCGGTCATAGGATCAGCATACAAAATAGCAGATTTGGTCAGGAGCCCGTAAGACGGCAGCTATCCACTGCAGCGCCATCATAGGACACATGCCTGTTTTGTTCTTCTCTCCTGTTTCCACTATGGCAGTGTAGAGTGCTGCTCTGCTTCATTACTGTAGCAGCTTATTTCCCTACGGTGTGATGGGAGCATATGTAGCACATGAATTTTAACTGCCAAGGCTCAGCAGGTCTGCAGGTGGGACTACTGAACATCTGGCCCTCTCCCTGGGTACCTGTTTTCCAACACTAGCTCAGGGCACTCTATGTGTTAATGTAAGGGGAGACTTATAAACTATAAGGGTTTATTCATCAATTTCATCTGTCCATTCAAATACGTCCGAGGCCATTTCAAAGCATGCTATGTTTTAATGATTGGCAGTAATACTACCAGGTGGTGCTGCATGGACGTGGCAAGAGAAGAATGAACGTGATGCCCACATATATAGGAGATGCAAAATACATTTTACACAGAGAGAGAAGAGTGTAGGCTATATTATTCACACCATATGCTGTGTTGCACAACACAACACAACACAACAGCACATTGCACCATGAGCTGACATCAGAGAGTGGCTTATGTCGTTTCAAAATCTCAAATTCAAATCATGGTGTCCTCGAACCAGACACAAAAAACTAGGCTGACATTAGATTGAAAGGTGGCAAACAGACAATCCCATTGCCTCGTTATGCAGACAGTTCACAATGGAGCCTTCTGCTTGGTCTGATAGGAGGCACATAGAGAATATAGAGTAAGTTGATGGAATATTTGATGGAGACACCACATCCAACCTCTCCAGTCCTATTTGTATGAAGGAAATCTGGGCTGACAGACAGACAGGGTGGTTTGTGTACCCTGCTGTCTGTCAAAAGGCTAATCCTTAGAGGCAACCCCGTATAACATCACCCAATCAACCCATGCAGACCATTCACTGGTTATAAGGGAAAAGTGCCAATAAGATAGTGTCAGAGACAAGCAAAGAACTATGGTTGCCATGGCTGTACATTTGCTGAGAATCTATATGTTTGTTAGTAAACAATATAGTTGTTCCATGTTGCACTAAGATAGCAAGTTCAGTTCAGTGTTATTTCTGTCTCTTGGATTCTTAAAAATGTAATGATCATGGTTTGAACCACAACATTGGTGGTTTTGAAGTTCCCGTGTGTGTGTGTGTGTGTGTGTGTGTGTGTGTGTGTGTGTGTGTGTGTGTGTGTGTGTGTGTGCGTCCACACGTGCAGTAAAAAAGGAACAGCGTGCCAATCAGGCTCAATAGATAGACTTCCCAAAAAAAGAGTTACAAAATAAAGAAAACGTTCATCTATTGTGAATATCCAAAACGATAGTACATAATGGCATCAACCAAGATGGGGATTGCATTTGCATATATATGTATTTTATTTTCTTAATGGGAAATGCAAATGTTCCATTTTGTGGCGAGTGCACATTTGGGAGCCCTGGCGTTAGATAAATGTGACTCTAGGGTATCCCTGCACACCTCGGCAAATTAATCATTGTGACACGTTCACGACCCTTCTAATAAGACAGAGGCCACAGTACACCCCCACTCCCTCTTTGTCTCTCAGCCTCCCCCAAAGGGGAGGAGAGGAGGGTGGGGGAGGCTGGGGTAGAGGTGGGGAAGGGGGGATGTGAAGTTAGATCCGTCATTCAGACCCCATCCCCTGGGACAACGGCAGGCACAAGACTCCTATTAGGACTGAGCACAGGAGCCCCCCAGGAGCAACAAAAGACACCTCCTAATACTCCCTGTTCCAACCCAGTGAGCGCACACACATACACACACATATACACAGGGGCCCCAAACAGACTCTCTCCCCAAGACAGGGATAGGGGTCTTACAATAATAATAAAACCCTTCCACAGAAAAGAACTGAACCACAGAAATGCATGCAGAACTGTGGGAGAGGGAAAGGGAGAAAGGGAGGGAGGGAGAAAGAGAGAGAGCGCAGTGAGGTGAAATAAGCCGGACAGCTGGACAGCAGGAAACGAGCAGGGTTTTCTGTGTGTTGTGCATGTGCGTGCGTGCGTGTGTGTGCATGCATGTGTGTGTTCTGACGGATTCTGACCGAGAGGGGATATTAAGACTGATTCTGCAAAGCAACAGATTCTGCAAAGAAAAATAGCAGTTTTTTTTACTGCCAAATCATGTAAACAATACAATGTCCATTCATTTCAACTAAAGTGCCTTCAGAAAGTATTCATAGCCCTTGACTTATTCCACATTTTGTTGTGTTACAGCCTGAATTCAGAATGGATTCAATCTATTTTTTCTCACCCATCTACACACAATACCCCATAATGACAATGTGAAAATGTTTTTATAAATTTTTTCAAGTTTATAGAAAATGAAATACAGAAAGATCTCATTTACATAAGTATTCACACCCCTGAGTCAATACATGTTATAATCACCTTTGGCAGCAATTACAGCTGCTAGTCTTTCTGGGTAAGTCTCTAAGAGCTTTGCACACCTGGATTGTACAATATTTGCACATTATTCTTTAAAAAATTATTCAAGCTCTGTCAAGTTGGTTGTTGATCATCGCTAGACAGCCATTTTCAAGTCTTGCCATAGATTTTCAAGCCGATTTAACCCATAAGAGTCTAAGCCCTTGTCTAAGCCATATGAAAATGTTTTAAGAAGGTCATACAAAGGATAATTTTGCTATTTGATTTTGAATTTTAAGACCCTTTGAAGTATCAAGAACAAATATAAAAAAACATTGTAATGAAAATTATTTGGCCTTACTGCTATTAGCCCATAAAAACGCATTGAATAACAGATTCACTACATGGAACAACAGATAGTCCCCCCCAAAAAAATCTAAAGGAAGTTTGTTCTGAAGTGTCTGTCCTATATCTGAGAGATATAAGGAAGATCAGGAAACATTTGTTATATGTATTTCTTTACTTGAATTTAACCCATTATTTTTGTTACTAAACTGTTTCCATATACTGTATACTTCCATACATCTTTTCAACTGGACCTTCAGATGAGTATTGGGAGGCCTGTGGGCATCCTAGAGTAAAACATGTACGTGTTCGTGCGAGTCTCACCTTTCCACAGAGGGGTCATATTAGTGTGTAGCCCAAACTGTTCAGACACTACAGACAGAAGTTGGCAGATCGGCTGTACTGACTTCAGATGAGTCCCAAGATGCTTGTGGGGGTCGTAGAGCAAAACGGAGAACACTGTTGTGTTCGTGAGAGTCTCATCTTTCAATAAAGGGGTTTGTAGGCCAAACCATTCGGACGCCACAGACGGTTTTGTGAGAAGACCGATTTGTTGGGATGTCTCATGGTCTGACAAACACCGCTCTAGCTCTGTCAACTTTCACCACAGATGCAGAAGTGCAACATAGGCGGATGCGGTGGATTGAGATGCATCCAATGCAAAAAAACTGATATCTCTGGCTTAAACTGACAGATTTTTATGGTGCTTTTTTTATTATGCTATTTAGATTTCCGCAGGGGCGCGGACATCGACCTTAGGGGGTTAGATCAAAACTGTAACTAGGCCACTCAGGAACATTCAATGTCGTCTTGCTAAGCAACTCCAGTGTATATTTGGCCTTGTGTTTTAGGTTAGTGTCCTGCTGGAAGGTGAATTTGTCTCCCAGTGTCTGTTGGAAAGCAGACTGAACCAGGTTTTCCTCTAGGATTTTGCCTGTGCTTAGCTCTATTCCGTTTCTTTTAATCCTAAAAAACTCCCTTGCCGATGACAAGCATACCCATAACATGATGCAGCCACAACCATGCTTGAAAATATGAAGAGTGGTACTCAGTGATGTGTTGTGTTGGATTTGCCCCAAACATAACACGTTGTATTCAGGACATAAAGTTAATTTCTTTGCCACATTTTTGCAGTTGTACTTTAGTGCCTTATTGCAAACAGGATGCATGTTTTGGAATATTTTTATTCTGTACATGCTTCCTTCTTTTCACTCTGTCATTTAGGTTAGTATTGTGGAGTAACTACAATGTTGTTGATCCTTCCTCAGTTTTCTCCTATCACAGCCATTAAACTCTCTAGCTGTTTTAAAGTCACCATTGGTCTCATGGTGAAATCCCTGAGCGGTTTTCTTCCTCTCCAGCAACTAGTGCTAAGCGATTAGTGCTTTTTGAGGTCGGTTCGGTTTTGGTTCGATTATTAAAAAAGTTTTGATGATTTTTTTAAATATTAAATGCGCTATGCATCATGTGGGTTGAATGCTGTAACAACATTGAATAAAACAATTAATAAAAGTTCCATGATGGTAGTGACTGCCCATTACTGCTTATCACTTATTACCCGTAATTTATTCACATTACTTTAATAAAATATTTGTTTTATTTGACGACTTTATTATTTCATTCCAAGTCATCTCATCTCTATAGGGCTGAGGGGGTGCAGAGGCCAGAGGGACCCACAAAAGGAAAGATGTTTTGATGCACGCCCTCCATGCCCCCCTGTCTTTGGGTGATGATGTGAGATTGGCCTCTCTGTTTTCCCTCACTGGGCTATTGAGGCAGCCCTGAATCACACTCAAAGCCCAAGGCTTAAATCTCAAGGCAAGAAAGCCCAGAGCTCAAAGCTCAAGGTTCGAAGCCCAAGGCTAAGAGTTCAAGGCTCAAAGCCTTGGCCAAGGATTTTCACTGTGGACAAAGTCACTGTGATCAGGCCTTGTCAGCTAGAGTTGTGTTCCCCAGAGTTTTCTTCCACCAGCACTGTACATTAAAATAATGAAACTTGGCTCCAGGCCTAAAGAACATTTGGACGTTTGGACAATGTGCTGCTTCAATATAATGAACTTCCTGAGTTGATCTCGGCTCTCGGCATGCTGAAACGGAAATGCATGCAGCCATAGGCGATGGATGAATACAGTAAGGAGCCACTCTCAGGGCCACATAGAAGGGCTCAAATAAAATGTTCATGCAGATATTAATCAGCTGTGGCGGTGGCAATCCGCTCAATACGCACCATCCGAACCTCTTTCAGGCACGTCGAAATCCTGGTGTGATCTGGCATTATGTCCATGCTGCATTTCCTCTGATCAGAGCCTTAATTTAGGATTAATGGGCTCCTCCATAAATGTCTCCACAGCACCGCCTCCACCGCCCGACTCACCCGGCAGTAATAATCCCCTCAATGATCTCCATTTTATATTTTCTCTCCTCTCCTCCTCTGCCCTCCTCTCCTCTCTTCCCTTGTGTTCCTCCTCTACACAGTGCTTAATTACTGGTGGGAAGTAATTATTTCCTTTATTATTGAGACGTAACATCTGTTTCAGGTCTTTTTAAGTGTACCTATAAAAGCCCCTCCATGAATTTGTCCCTTAAGGATAGTACTGGGCTGCTTGTTGCTCCCTGTGGACCCCATCCCCAACACTCCCCCATGCAGCCCTCCACCACTCTGCATGCCCACGCACTATGGGGCACATACAGCGCAGCAAGCTGGATGCTAGCGCCCTGAATCCCCTTAACAGGCACTGAGCAGCATACCAGCTCACTACTGGGTACACACACACACACATGACAGGATGAAGAGATGCATTTATTGGTCTGATGATGGTCATCGTAATGTTTTAAGTCTCCCAAGTTTTCCACAGAGAAGGCCGGGACTGGTTGGTGTGGTGGGGACATGGGTGGAGCGTGGGAATACGGAATGAAAGGTGGAGGGAGTAAGATTCCTGAAAGCACTGGTGAAATTTCGCCCTCCGTATTAATAGACTTTGGTCCTTAGAAATGTTATTAGCCATAAAATGTACAGCATGTTGTTCTATTTCAACAGGCCTGGCAGTTTCTAGAAAGTTTTAATTTCTTCTTTAAAAAACAGTAATGACCCAGCGTCCAAACAAGTCATCACCAAAGTTTATCTTTCCCTTCAGAGGCTCCCGCAGTGGATGGGAGTGACTGAAAAGGGACAGGAACAGGTGTCACCATCAAACATAGCCTTCCATGGAATGAATAAATATATAAAAACCTCACATAGTTATCGACTTCCCACACACACTGGCCAGTGGGCTGAAGACAGTCTGGCTTCTGCTGGCCTGTCCTTTTAGCGCTCTCCCTCTTAATGTTTATGGTTCCTGCACCTTCAGGAAATGACCCTTTTATAGGGTCAACACTATAAAAGACTTGTGTTTTTTTGGTGGGAGTGGTTGGTGTATGTGTGTGTGTGTGTGTGTGTGTGTGTGTGTGTGTGTGTGTGTGTGTGTGCGTGTGTGTGTGTGTGTGTGGTGCGTGTGTGTGGTGCATGTGTGCGTGTATGGGAGTGGGGGTAATGCTGTGTAAGCTACTACCGGTTCTCCTTTGCTGCGAAGAAAGCGACCCAATGAGGTTAATTGGCTCCTCATCCAATATATCACATAGCTGTGAACTCTGTGACCCTTTTTGTCAATAGGGAGACTTTTGTCCACTGTGTCTGTGTGTGTGTGTGTGTGTGTGTGTGTGTGTGTGTGTGTGTGTGTGGACCAAGTTCCCTATTTTCTTATGTTTCTCAATTGTTAATTGACAAAAAAAAGATAACAGCACTAATATGGCAACTGAAAATCCAAGTGTGAAATCATTGCAATGCTGCAGCTATATTTGCAAAGCTTCCCTGTAAAATAAGCTCTGATGAAACTGTTGTGTCATGGTACCGAAGATAACTGATAAAGCAAAAGAATGAAGAGGATATTTCGTCATATCTACACATACACTGACTCTTGTGTGCATTTGTATTTATCGTGTGTATTTTATCTGACTTAGTATTGATTCCATACTCTTTTAAAAAATATATTCTGGATTCAACTAAAATCAGCTATCTTAGCAACAAAACCGACGCATGCACAACTATGGGGCAAAACAGACGGGGTTGGCTTAGATTGTTGACAACATGTAAACTATATTTTGTCTCCAAATGTTTATTGAAAACATAAATACATTTGCACAATGAGCACTTGTTTCTCAAATACATTGTTACAGTTGTTGGTTAGCTAGCTAGCGAATTTGAGCCATATCAGCATAGACATGACATGAGTCAAAACACCTCAAAACAAGACATGGTATCAATAACAACATACAACGAGCTGAAACGAGCCACCTATGATTCCCCACAAGGCAGCTTCTTGTGATTGTTGCTAGCTATCTGACCGTTCAGAATCATAACAACACACAGCCTTCTGCCTCATCGATGCACACACATAATTTCTGTGACCTTGTCAGCCAACCTGTCAATAATGACCATAGAGTAAATACACCTCCCACCTCAGACCTTTAGGTTTAGGCTGGGGGGCATAGCGTGGTTAAGTATGGGACAGATAGTGTCATGCACTCCGTGGTTAGGAAAGTGATGAAGGTGCAAGATTCTGGGAGGGGGTGATAAGGCTTTCCTCACCATAGGGGGAGATTTTTTTTAGGGGAGGGACAACAGAGGACAGTTAGATACATTGTATATCTCAGGTACAGCTATGTCTATCAGCTTGACACCAAGTTCCTTGGTGTCCACATCACCAACAAACTATCATGGTCCAAACACACCAAGACAGTCGTGAAGAGGGCACGACAAAACCTATTCCCCCTCAGGAGACTGAAAAGATTTGGCATGGGTGCTCAGATCCTCAAAAGGTTATACAGCTGCACCATCGAGAGCATCCTGACTGGTTGCATCACTGCCTGGTATGGCAACTGCTCGGCCTCCGACCGCAAGGCACTACAGAGGATAGTGTGTACGGCCCAGTACATCACTGGGGCCAAGCTTCCTGCCATCCAGGACCTACCAGGTGGTGTCAGAGGAAGGCCCTAAAAATTGTCAAAGACTCCAGCCACCCTAGTCATAGACTGTTCTCTCTGCTACCGCACGACAAGTAGTACCGGAGCATCAAGTCTAGGTCCAAAAGGCTTCTTAACAGCTTCTACCCCCAAGCCATAAGACTCCTGAACAAATCATGGCTACCCGGACTATTTGCATTGTCCCCCCCCACCCCACCCCCTCTTTTACGCTGCTGCTACTCTCTGTTTATTATCTATGCATAGTCACTTTAACTCTACCCACATGTACAGTGGCTTGTGAAATTATTTTGTTGCCATACAACCTGGAATTCAAATTGATTTTGGGGGGGTTTGTACCATTTCATTTACACAACATGCCTACCACTTTGAAGATGCAAAATAAAAAATGTTGTGAAACAAACAAGAAATAAGACCAAAAAAAATGAACACTTGAGCGTGCATAACTATTCACCCCCCCCAAAGTCAATACTTTGTAGAGCCACCTTCTGCAGCAATTACAGCTGCAAGTCTCTTGGGGTATGCCTCTATAAGCTTGGCACATCTAGCCACTGGGATATTTGCCCATTCTTCAAGGCAAAACTGCTCCAGCTCCTTCAAGTTGGATGGGTTCCGCTGGTGTACAGCAATCTTTAAGTCATACCACAGATTCTCAATTGGATTGAGATCTGGGCTTTGACTAGGCCATTCCAAGACATTTAAATGTTTCCCCTTAATCCACTCGAGTGTTGCTTTAGCAGTATGCTTAGGTTCATTGTCCTGCTGGAAGGTGAACCTCCGTCCCAGTCTCAAATCTCTGGAAGGCTGAAACAGGTTTCCCTCAAGAATTTCCCTGTATTTAGCGCCATCCATCATTCCTTCAATTCAGTTTCCCAGTCCATGCCGATAAAAAACACCCCCACAGCATGATGCTGCCACCACCATGCTTCACTCTGGGGATGGTTTTCTCGGGGTGATGAGAGGTGTTGGGTTTGCGCCAGACATAGCGTTTTCCTTGATGGCCAAAAAACTCAATTTTAGTCTCATCTGACCAGATTACCTTCTTCCATATGTTTGGGGAGTCTTCCACATGCCTTTTAGCGAACACCAAACGTGTTTGCTTATTTTTTTCTTTAAGCAATGGCTTTTTTCTGGCCACTCTTCTTTAAAGCCCAGCTCTGTGGAGTGTACGGCTTAAAGTGGTCATATGGACAGATACTCCAATCTCCAATGTGGAGCTTTTCAGCTCCTTCAGGGTTATCTTTGGTCTCTTTGTTGCCTCTCTGATTAATGCCCTCCATGCCTGGTCCGTGAGTTTTGGTGGGCGGCCCTCTCTTGGCAGGTTTGTTGTGGTGCCATATTCTTTCCATTTTTTAATAATGGATTTAATGGTGCTCCGTGGGATGTTCAAAGTTTCTGATATTTTTTTATAACCCAACCCTTATCTGTACTTCTCCACAACTTTGTCCCTGACCTGTTTGGAGAGCTCCTTGGTCTTCATGGTGCCGCTTGCTTGGTGGTGCCCCTTGCTTAGTGGTGTTGCAGACTCTGGGGCCTTTCAGAACAGGTGTATATATACTGAGATCATGTGACAGATCATGTGACACTTAGATTGCACACAGGTGGACTTTATTTAACTAATTATGTGACTTCTGAAGGTAATTGGTTGCACCAGATCTTATTTAGGGGCTTCATTGCAAAGGGGGTGAATACATATGCACGCACCACTTTTCCGTCATTTGTTTCATTTTTTTTCATTTCAATTCACCAATTTGGACTATTTTGTGTATGTCCATTACATGAAATCCAAATAAAAATCCATTTAAATTACAGGTTGTAATGCAACAAAATAGGAAAAACGCCAAGGGGGATGAATACTTTTGCAAGGCACTGTACATATTACCTCAATTACCTCGACTAACCTGTGCCCCCGCACATTGACTCTGTACTGGTACCCCCTGTATATAGCCTCCCTACTGTTATTTTATTTTATTTTACTGCTGCTCTTTAATATATTTTGATATTTATTTTTCACTTATCTATTTTTTACTTAACACTTATTTTTCTTAAAACTACATTGTTGGTTAAGGGCTTGTAAGTACGCATTTCACTGTAAGGTCTACACCTGTTGTATTCGGCGCATGTGGCAAATACAATTTGATTTGATTTGATCATCACGGTACTTTATGTTAGTAATTCTACAGGCATGCATTATGGTAAGTATACCTCTCATTATGGTAAGTGGTGAAATAAGTATGGCTAGTTATAATTGTAATGGTTTAGTCGATAATAAGAAATGACGATCAGTCTTTACCTAGCTAAAAGAGATGGAATATAATGTCTTTGTTTACAGGAAACTCACTCTTCATCTACAGATGAAGTTGTGTGGAAAAAGGACTGGGGGGAAAAAATGTACTGTCATGTGCAAAGAAATTGAAAAGGGGTGATGATATTATTAATTAATAATCATTTAGATCCGAGTGTGCAAACTATCTAAACAGATCCGCAAGGAAGGTGGATCCTTTTGAATATGCTAGTGGAAGATAAACAGATTTGGCTCATTAATCTATATGGTCCAAATAATGATGATCCACACTTAGAAAATATTTATAACAATCTATTGAACTCATAAGCAACAAACAATCCTATTTGGTTCTCTGTAGCTCAGCTGGTAGAGCACGGCGCTTGTAACGCCAGGGTAGTGGGTTCGATCCCCGGGACCACCCATACACAAAAATGTATGCACGTATGACTGTAAGTCGCTTTGGATAAAAGCGTCTGCTAAATGGCATATTATTATTATTATTTATTATTATGGTGGGAGACTATAACACGGTTTTAAGTACTTCAATGGACTGTAAAGGAAATCACACTACAAACTATCACCCTCATGAACTTAAGCAGATCACGAATATTATGGACACATTAGAACTAGTGGAAACAGTGCCTTCAGAAAGTATTCACACCCCTTGACCTTTTCAAAATTGTGTTGTGTTACAAAGTGGGATTAAAATTGATTTAATTGTCTTTTTTTAACGATCTACACAAAATACTCTATAATGTCAAAGTGTCAGAAAAATTCTAACATTAAAAAATAAAAAATAAAGACTAATACACTACATGACCAAAAGTATGTGGACACCTGCTCGTCGAACATCTCATTCCAAAATCATGGGCATTAATATGGAGTTGGTCCCCCCTTTGCTGCTATGACAGCCTCCACTCTTCTGGGAAGGCTTTCCACTAGATGTTGGAACATTGCTGCGGGGACATTCAGCCACAAGAGAATTAGTGAGGTCGGACACTGATGTTAGGCGATTAGGCCTGGCTCGCAGTCAGCGTTCCAATTCATCCCAAAGGTGTTCGATGGGGTTGAAGTCAGGGCTCTGTGCAGGCCAGTCAAGTTCTTTCACACCGATCTTGACAAACCATTTCTGTATGGACCTCGCTTTGTGCATGGGGGCATTGTCATGCTGAAACAGGAAAGGACCTTCCCCAAACTGTTGCCACAAAGTTGGAAGCACAGAATCGTCTAGAATGTAATTATATGCTGTAGTATTAAGATTTACCTTCACTGGAACTAAGGGGCCCAGCCCGAATCATGAAAAACAGCCCCACACCATTATTCCTCCTCCACCAAACTTGACAGTTGGCACTATGCATTCGGGCAGATAGCGTTTTCCTGGCATCAGCCAAACCCAGATCTGTCTGTCGGACTGCCAGATGGTGAAGTGTGATTCATCACTCTAGAGAATGCGTTTCCACTGCTCCAGAGTCCAATGGTGGCAAGCTTTGCGCATGGTGATCTTAGGCTTGTGTGCGGCTGCTCATCCATGAAACCCATTTCATGAAGCTCCCGGTGAACAGTTATTGTGCTGATGTTGATTCTAGAGGCAGTTTGGAACTCGGTAGTGAGTGTTACAACCGAGGACAGATGATTTTAAAGCGCTACCCGCTTCAGCACTCGTTGGTCCCGTTCTGTGAGCTTGTGTGGCCTACCACTTCGCGGTTGTTGCTCCTGGACATTTCCACTTCACAATAACAGCACTTACAGTTGACCGGGGCAGCTCTAGCAGGGCAGAAATTTGACAAAATGACTTGTTGGAAAGGTAGCATCCTATGACAGTGCCACGTTGAAAGTCACTGAGCTCTTCGGTAAGGCCATTATGTTTGTCTATGGAGATTGCATGGCTGTGTGTTCGATTTTATACACCTGTCAGCAATGGGTGTGGCTGAAATAGTCGAATCCACTAATTTGAAGGGGTGTCCACATACTTTTGTATATATAGTGTATATCTTGATTAGATAGGTATTCAACCCCCTGAGTCAATCACAGGAGGCTGCTGAGGGGAGGATGGCTCATAATAATGTCTGGAACTGAATTAATGGAATCGCATCAATTGATACCATTCCACTTATTCCGTTCCAGCCATTACCAAGAGCCTGTCTTTCCCAATTATGGTGCCACCAACCTCCTGTGGAGTCAATACATATTAGAATCACATTTGGCAGCGATTACAGCTGTGAATATTTCTGGGTAAGTCTCTAAGAGCATTCCACACCTGGATTGTGCAACATTTGCCCATGATTATTTTAAAAATTCTTCAAGCTCTGTCAAATTGGTTGTTGATCATTGCTAGAAAACCATTTTCAGGTCTTGCTATAGATTTTCAAGCAAATGTATGTAAAAACTGTAACACGGCAACTCAGGAACATAAACATTCAATGTCTACTTGGTAAGCAACTCCAGTGTAGATTTGGCATTGTGTTTTAGGTTATTGTCCTGCTGAAAGGTGAATTAATCTCCCAGTGTCTGGTGGAAAGCAGACTGAACCAGGTTTTCCTCTAAGATTTTGCCTGTGCTTAGCTCTATTCCATTTATTTTACAAGCATACCCATAACATGATGCAGCTACCACTATGCTTGAACATATGGAGAGTGGTACTCAGTAATGTGTTGTATTGGATATGCCCCAAACATAACACTTTGTATTCAAGACAAGAAGTTAATTGCTTTCCCACATTTTTGGCAGTATTACTTTAGTGCCTTGCTGAAAACAAGATGCATGTTTTGGAATATTTTTATTCTGTACAGGCTTCCTTCTTTTCACTCTGTCAATTAGGTTAGTATTGTGGAGTAACTACAATGTTGTTGATCCATCCTCAGTTTTCTCCTATCACAGCCATTAAACTCTGTAATTGTTTTAAAGTCACCATTGGCGTCATGGTGAAATCCCTGAGCTGTTTCCTTCCTTTCCGGCAACTGAGTTAGGAAGGACACCTGTATCTTTGTAGTGACTGGGTGTATTGATACATCATCCAAAGTGTAATTAATAACTTTACCATGCTCAAAGGGATATTCAATGTCTACCAGTAGAGGCATTGGAAAACCTCCATGGTCTTTGTGGTTGAATCTGTGTTTGAAATTCACTGCTCGACTGAGGGACCTTACAGATAATTGTATATGTGGGGTACAGTCATTCAAAAATCATGTTAAATATTATTATTACACACAGAGTCCATACAACGTATTATGTGATTCGTTAAGCACATTCTTACTCCTGAACTTATTTAGGCTTGTCATAACAAAGGGATTGAATACTTATTTACCCAAGACATTTCAGCTTTTCATTTTTTATTAATTTGTAAAAATTTAGAAAAAACATATTTCCACTTTGACATTATGGGCTATTGTGTGTAGGCCAGTGACACAAAATCTAAATTTAATCTTTCTGAAGGAACTGTATGGAGGCTAAAAAACCCTGACCTAGTGAGATATACACTACCAGTCAAAGGTTTGGACACACCTACTCATTCAAGGGTTTTTCTTTATTTTTACAATTTTTTACATTGTAGAATTATAGTGGAGACATCAAAACTATGAAATAACACATATGAAATCATGTAGTAAACAAAAAAGTGTGAAACAAATCAAAGTATATTTTATATTTGAGAACCTTCAAATAGCCACCCTTTGCCTTGATGACAGCTTTGCACACTCTTTGCAATATTCTGGATACATCAGTAACCTAATAAGAATATTATTGGAAAACGTGGGGTAAGTGCAACATAAGACAAAAAAGGGTTTAAGTGAGAGGAAGGACTAACTGGTGTCTCCAAGTGGCCACACACCTCTCCAATTCCTAAGTAATTTCAATGCATTTTATGACTCAAAGAAGAGTCTTCAACTATATGGTGTATTTCTTTTGTCTCTCCTAGCTGTGCTGTTGAGGAACTAGAGCAAGCCCACATGCAGTTGTTTTGTTTGGAACACAGGCCTGCATCCCCGCCATCACACAATTACTGTTGGTGTTTATGCCTCGGTCAGGTGGGCATCATTTGAAAGCTTGATCTATTGCCAACATGACTAGCTAAGTTATAAAATACGATCTTACAGTGTTAGGCTTTCACAGGGCAATTCAGAGAAACAGATTGTAATAGAAAGGAGTCATGCGTGCATTCAGGTGCGTGTTCTGCGGCGAAATCTCTTCACAATAGACAAACATAGGCTAATTCTGTTCAGAACAACCCAGGGTATGACTACATCTCATCTTGTAACTGTACATCAAACATAGGGATCATAAACATTGACACTATGGAAATGTGAAGTGCACATTTGAACTCATGGGTGTTTGGCTTGCTTGTATAACATCAAAGCGGTATTTATTATAATCCTCAATGTCTCATCTTTCAAAATACATAGAGTCCTCTTAATTTACAGCATTTCCCTCACTCAGACAACAAAACATTTTCAAAAGTTGCCCAATTAGCGGGAGGGATGGGGGCAACTTCTTGTTGCGTGCAGTGCTCAAGTTCTGAACGGTTATCAGTCAAAACCCATACAGTGCTGTAAAGCACAGAGCCTGAGCTCTGATGTCATTTATAGCATGTTACCGTACAGCCACTGCATTCCAATTTAGGCGGTTATCAGTGCCCAAATCTGCAATTTTCTTTTTTTAATTATTTTCCAATAAAAAAAAGAGAACAGAGATACAAACATTGACATTCCTTGTAGTGTTGAATGGGATTGCAAATTTAGAGGGCAAAACAAAACTTAACTCACATATACAAAAAAAATATATATATCCTATTAAGATGTCAATGTATTATAAGAAGACAGCATATAGTCAATACAAGCAGTAGTAGCAGATCATCAACCCAGTTATGAAGGGGGAATAGACCATTTATCCAGTATCGGCTGCCATATTTTGTAAAATATTCTATTGGAGGTATTGTATCGAATCTTTTCCATATGCATTACATTCCCTAAATCCCGTAACCACATTTCAAAGGTAGCTACAGTCTCCAATTTCCAAAATTGCAATATGAGCCTTTTGGCTAATAGAGTACAAAGAGAGACAGCCTTCCCTTCCTGGTTATTCCCATCAACTGTACCAAACAGAGCGATCAATGGGTCTGGGAAATCTGCCATTTTCAACTTGTATATGGGTACAAGTGTAAAGGGCTACCTAAGACAAAATAATTTATAACTGACTTTTTCCTGCACAACATAGGTACAGCATATCCCCTTATTGTATGGGACACTTTCAGAGGCCATTCAATTTTCATCTTGAAAACAAAAGCAGTTTCAGTCAAAAAGGATTAGACAAACAAAGGAAATAGAGGAACTAACAGCACAGGTAGATAGCAATAAAAAATGTATCATAATGGCCCAGAATAAGTTAGCGTGAAAACAAAAACAACTGGAGGAACTTTTCAAGAACAATCAAGTGTAATTTATTACAAAAATAAAGTGGATGATTTTTTTTTTTTATGCACTACATTTTTCTTGAATCTTCAACATAGAAATGCTACCAAAAATAATTTACAGAAACACATTAAAAATAACGGAGTCATCCATGATTCACCAAATTATATTTTAAAAGAGGAAGCAAAATATTTTAAGCATGTTTTCTTTTCAGTCTCCTCCATCTCCACTGAATTGTGTTAACTGTAAGGATTTTTTCCCTATTAATGATCATGTTAAATTAACAAAATGTACAGAAATACCTGTGTGAAGGCCAACTTACAGAAGAGGAACTTCTTGAGGAAATTAAATTATTTTAGTCCAGAAAAATCCCAGGGCTTAAGCCAGACAAAAAAAATAGAATAGCAGGAAATTTGCTTTAAAAATGCTAAATTCTCTCTGCCCCATGGCAATATGTGTAGAATTGCAGGAAAATATATTTAAATGCTAAATTATCTCAGCCTCATTGCAAAATGTGTAGAATGGCATAAGATTAGCTATAAAGTTCCACATTTCTCTCTCTGCCCCAAGGCAATATGTGTAGAATTGCAGGAAATTAGCTTTAAAATAGCAACATTTTCTCTCAGCCTCATGGCAAAATAGCATGAGATTAGTTATAAAACTGCAAATGTTTCTCTTTGCACCATGGAAAAATGTGTAGAACTGTAGAAAGTTAGCTGTTGGGGGAGGGGCCTTGCTCAGACCTTGCAGGGGGGGGGCCCTGCGAAACTGTGATAAGCCACTAATTGAGGAGTGGGATTAAAAAGCTCATGATCAGTAATAGTTATTACTGAAAACGATTTATATAATGTATAACGGAGATGTCTGAGTACTATCTATCCAAAATGTAATGTGTATATCAAAAACACAATATCTTTGTTATGTAACTACTGTGTATAAAAGTATGTATGTAAAATGTGTGCAAAATGTATATGTAACAAAAAAGCTATAAAAACAAAAATGTAAAACAAAATTACTTTTGTCTTCCAAAGAGGGGTTGATTGTTCTCGAGTCAAAGGAGAGAACCTGTTTAAATATCAAACCCTTTGCTCTGTGGTTGTGGCTTTGAACCCTGCTTTTGTAAAGACTTCGGACAAGAGCTTGGCTAGAATTGCAACTCAACCAAATGGTTGACTGCAGGTGTTGGACTTAAGTGGTCAAATTGCAATAAGATGGGTCTATTACTGAAACAATCCAGAGACAGGGGGGATGACAAATTACCAACAAACGTTTTCCAAATGTACGCAGTTGTGTGCTGGGAGAGAGAGGGAGAGCATTGATGGGAGAGGAAGGTCTGGTCTCAATGCCATGGACAGGTGACAAATTAGGGCATATTGGGGTCAAAACCTCACCCCTCGTTGGCCCAGCATGCACCAGCACACACACAGACACAGACACAGACACACACACACACATACAGCCTGGTTGTACAGGGCTCAGCTCAAGTACAACATCAGACTGCTTTCTGTGTAACAGGCATATACACACACAGTTTCAAATCCTTTTCTCTGTGGTTTTTAATGTTGTGACACAAATGAACCACATAGGACCAGAGCAGTTCCTATGTGTGCAGCTTCGCTCCATGTACATGGGTAGGGCACTGCATCGATATCCTTGCAACACACTGTATGGGGAGGGAATGCTACAGTACATTACAGTGCCGCACTGTGATATAAATAGCTTTTCCATGAAATGTTATACTAATTAGCGACCAGGAAGCATGGACCCTCTCAACCCCCACTGCGGCACCCATGTACCTTGAGCGAATACTAAGAAGCAACTCTGGCATACTAAGAAGCGACTCTGGCACCGGTCCAGTTCAGCGTGTACTGTGTGAACCCACACGGCCCATCAAAGGCAGTGCGCACGCCCATGAGAGGGTGATTGGGTTCGAGGTGCGCAGGGAATAGTGTTTGAAGTACTCCCTGTCTCTATCTGAGAGACGGAAAAGGCGCTTTTCATCTTGCGGGATTGCTGAGGTGCCACAGGCGAGAGAGATGCAGTCCTTCTCCTCTCAACGTGAAACTGTTCCATGAACACCAGAGGAGAGTGATGACGGAGAGAGAGAGTTCAGAGGGAGAGGAGGAAAGGGGAGAACAGAGAGAGGGGTAGAGAGATGAGGAGTAAAGAGAGAAGAGAGGAAGAAAGAAGTGAGAAGTGAGAAATGAGAAATGAGAAAGGATCAAACGTAGAGTGGGAGGAAGAGGAGAGGAGAAAACAGAGAGGAAAAAAGAGAGAGGAAAAGATGCTAATGCAGCCCCATGGCATCCTGCTAACAGTGCAGAGCAGAGCAGCACAGTACATGTTTCTTGCACCAGTGTCAGTGAGTGCACTCCCATTCATTCAAAACAAAGCAGCAGCTCCCACTCCTGACATTTGAATAGAGATATCTTATGGACCTATCAATAACCACGGCCCACAACTGTCTAATAAACAAGCCATTAAAGAAACAGAAACATGGGGTTTCCATCCATCCCATTCAAAGCCCATTCCCCAGCAAAACAAAAGCCTCTCTGCTAAATGCAAGAGTCACTCTTCTTCCAGTCCCATCATATCATATCTGTGCTGCTGATGCGGATGCTGCTTGAGGCCAATTACTTCTCCTCCAATGGACAGGAGCAGTTGTGTCACGTCATGTCATGTCCGGCCCGAGGAAGAGTGCTGAACAGGTTCAACACATCCATGGGGCGACAGAGAACAACACTGGACGGAACATACTGGAATGGAGGCACCACATCTGTGTAACCCTCAAACACAAGATACACTGTTACGCAGGCTCGGTCAAGAGAAGAGGGGCAAAAACTTTTGCAGTATGTCCCACTAACAACATGCAGAGTGGGAGAGAGAGGGGAGGAGAGGGAGAGAGATGGAGAACTGCTATTCAGTCAACTGGTGGAGAAAGCTGGACATACTAATACCGTGGAGAGCCTACATTGACCATTCTACAACCACATCGTTGACCTCAAAAACTTGGACCATGAGAATCACATAAAATAATCACATAAAAGTAATATATCGTTAGATTGATAAATGCTTCTATCGTACAACTTTATGATGCTCCGCATGAGTCTCTTTCTATGTAAATGATAATGCCTAGGATTCAAAATGTGCTAAAGCTCTACAATTGTGCATGTTTTCACCATCTCCATTCTCTAACATAGACCATAGGCACTACTTGTTAAAAAAAACGATCATAGGAATCATTTTCCACAATGGTGAGCGAGCTGCAAGCCTGCAACAGCAGTCAAGATCTCATGCCTGGCAAGAACAATGATGCATCCCTCAGAGGACCAAACGCTGAACTTGCTTTGAGGGTTGTCAATAGCAACTGACACTGTGATTTTCATTACCACGGGCCACAGTTGTTTTGGTAGCAGATATTCAAGAATAGGTAATTCATCACAAAGTAGGCCTATGTGCAGAACTAGGATCATTCATGAAAGATCATCTACAAAGAAGTTTTGGTGAGTAAAATGGGCGATTCATTGACGGATGGGACAGTCTATTAACCCTAATGGATATGGACAGTTGAAAGTCATTTCTTGACATTTTAACAACTCCTTATTTGAAGAACAAACAAATGAACATCATATAAATGGCACAGGCACTTATTTATCTCTGACAGCCAACTGTAAAAATCATCTCACATGCGTTTGGCGCTCACAAAATGGCAGTTAAACTGGTGAAGTTTATTATGCCACAAAAAGAGAGGGCACGATGTGTATGACCATTACTTTTAATATGTTATGTTAAGTCTACAAGACCAGGCTGCAACCTGCTCAGGGGTAGACGGAGCATAGTAAACATTAAATCTTTGACACTCCAATTAGTATGATATGTTACATTTCATATGATATGTATTAATTTGTGGATGTCCATCATCCATTTCCTATGATATGCAGGGCCAGCTCTAGTCATTTGGAGTCCCTAAGAGAGATTTGGTTGGGGGGGGGGGCCCACCAAGCGGGCAATCTTGACGGCAGAGAGAGACATTTGTGCCATTTTAAAGCAAGTTTTCTGCAGTTCTACATGTTTTGCCATGGGGCGGAGAGGGCCATAAGCGACCTTTTATGTTGCTTATGCCTGGAGATACCCTGATGATATGTTACCAATTACAATTTGCATGATACAGTGCCTTCAGAAAGATTCACACACCTTGACTTTTTCCACATTTTGTTGTGTTACAAAGTGGGATTCAAATTGATTTTACTGTCTTTTTTGTCAACAATATACACAAAATACTCTGTAAGTGGAAGACAAATTCTAACATTTGTAAAAAGAAATGCATGAAAAATAAACGAATGTGTCTTGATTAGATAAGTATTCAACCCCCTTAGTCAATATACAGTACCAGTCAAAAGTTTGGACACACCTACTCATTCAAGGGTTTTTCTTTATTTTTACTATTTTCTACATTGTACAATAGTAGTGAAGACATCAAAACTATGAAATAACACATATGGAATCATGTAGTAACCAAAAAAGTGTTAAACAAATCAAAATATATTTAAACATTCACTGTCTTCTTTGTAAGCAACTAGTAAGCAAGTAGATTTGGCCTTGTGTTTAAGGTTATTGTCCTGCTGAAAGGTGAATTAATCTCCCAGTGTCTGGTGGAAAGCAGACTGAACCAGGTTTTCCTCTAGGATTCTACCTGTGTTTAGCTCCATTCTGTTAATTTTTTATCCAGAAAAACTCCCCAGTCCTTAACTATTACAAGCATACCCATAACATGATGCAGCCACCACTATGCTTGAAAATATTCAGGACAACATTTTAATTTCTTTGCCACAATTTTAGAAGTTTTACTTTAGTGCCTTGTTGCAAACAGGATGCATGTTTTGGAATATGTGTATTCTGTACAGGCTTCCTTCTTTTCACTCAGTCAATTAGGTTAGTATTGTGGAGTCACTACAATGTTGTTGATCCATCCTCAGTTTTGTCCTATCACAGCCATTAAACTCTGTAACTGTTTTAAAGTCACCATTGGCATCATGGTGAAATCCCTGAGCAGTTTCCTTACTCTCTGGCAACTGAGTTAGGAAGGACACCTGTATCTTGTAGTGACTAGGTGTATTGATACACCATCCAAAGTGTAATTAATAAAGTCACCATACTCAAAGGGATATTCAATGTCAGCTTTTTAAATTGTTACCCATTTACCAATAGGTGCCCTTCTTTGCGAGACATTGGAAAAACTCCCTGGTCTTTGTGGTTGAATCTGTGTTTAAAGTTCACTGCTAAACTGAGGGACCTTACAGATAATTGAATGTGTGGGGTACAGAAATTAAGTAGTCATTCAAAAATCATGTTAAACACTGGCAAGATGGCACTGTACTGGATGGCCACCGTTTTGCAAGCTCCGACCCAACTTTGCTATTTTGTGACTATTTTGTTAGTCTATTTTCACGTAATGTCTCCGCAATTATTTCTTACAACCGACAAGAACTCTTGAACATCAGATCGGCAGTTACTTACCCCAATTCCGGCTTCTACTTCGACTCATCTGCCCTGGGCTCTCTCTGTAATTCCAACCCAATCTTCGGGCTACCCAAGAGGAAACGCCAGCGTTACAGAGGCAAGAGAGAGGGATCCTGGTGAAATGAAGGCGAAAGGAAAACCGGCCACCTCTTCCCTCCATTCTACTGGCGAATGTACAGTCACTTGATAATAAGATGGATGACCTCCGATCGCGGATTCGCTACCAACTGGACTCTCGGAATTGCAATATTCTTTGCTTTTCAGAAACATGGCTCTGAGACAAGGTACACCCCATGGCTATCCAACTTGATGGATTCTCCATTCACTGGGCGGACAGGACAGTGGAGTCGGGGAATTCGAGTGGGGGATGGGGTTTGCATCTTCATCAACTCCAACTGGTGTGCTAATTCCAGTGCGGTGGAAGTGTCGACCCACTGTTCACCAGTCTTGGAATACCTTGTGGCGCAGTGGTCTAAGGCACTGCATCACAGTATTGCAGCGTCACTACAGCCTGGGATTTGATCCCAGGCTGTGTCATTACCGTCCGTGACCGGGAGGATATCTGCGACGTTGTACCCACGGTGAGGGTTTGCTGCTTCCCCAATCAAAAGCCCTGGATTTACACAGAGGTTGGCGCTAAACTAAAGAGCAGGGCTACCACACACAGAGCTATCGTAGACAACCCTGATGCTATGGCCGAAGACATGAATAAGTACAAGAAGGCCCACTATGACCTGTGCAGAGTCATCAAACAAACAAAAGGACAATATAGGAATAAGGTGGAATCATATTACACAGGCTCCGACGCCCACCTCATGTGGCAGGGGCTACAGTCTATTACGGATTACAAAGGAAGACCCAACCGTGATCTGCCCAATGATGCCTCTCTACCAGACGGACGCAATGCATTTTATGCACGCTTTGACAACAACAACATTGAGGTGGGTGTGAGGGCCGTCACCGACCCAGAGGACTGGGTGATCTTGCTCTCCGAGGACGACGTGAGAAGGGTCTTTAATCAGGTCAACACCCACAAGGCCACGGGCCCCGACGGTATTCCAGGGCGTGTTCTCAGAGCATGCGCAGAACAGCTGGCAGGCATATTCACAGTAATTTTCAACCTCTCCTTGTCCCAGTCTGTAATCCCCACATGTTTTAAGATGACCACAATCATGCCTGTTCCTAATAAATCTAAGGCTTCATGCCACAATGATTACTGCCCTGTAGAACTCACTTCTGTAATCATGAAGTACTTTGAGAGGCTGGTTATGGCACACATTAACTCCACCATCCCAGCCACCTTAGACCCACTCCAATTTGCATACCGCCCCAACAGATCCATAGATGATGCAATCTCAATTGCTCTCTACACTGCCCTCACCCACCTAGATAAGAGGAATACCTATGTGAGAATGCTGTTAATTTACTACAGTTCAGCATTCAACACCATTATCCCCTTCAAGCTCGTCACCAAGCGTAGGACTCTGGGTCTAAACACCTCCCTCTAAAACTGGAACCTGGACTTCCTGAAGGGCCGACCCCAGGTGGTGAGGGTAGGCAACATCACCTACACCACGCTGACCCTTAACACAGGGGCCCCACAGGGGTGTGTGCTTACTCCCCTCCTGTACTCCCTGTTCACCCACGACTGTGTGGCCACACACGACTCCAACACCATTATCAAGTTTGCTGACGGCACGACAGTGGTAGGCCTGATCACCGGTGACGATGGGTCAGCCTACAGGGAGGAGGTCAGTGACCTGGCAGTGTAGTGCCGGAGCAACAATCTCTCACTCAACGTCAGCAAGACCAAGGAGCTGATCGTGGACTACAGGAAATGGGGGGGCGAGCACGCCTCCATCCACATCGATGGGGAGGCAGTGGAGCAGGTAGACAGCTTCAAGTTCCACGGTGTCCAAATCACTAAAGACTTAAAATGGTCCAAACACACACACACAGTTGTGAAGAAGGCACGACAGTGCCTCTTCCCCCTCAGGAGGTTGAAAAAGTTTGGCATGGGCCCTCAAATCCTGAAAAGGTTCTACAGCTGTACCATTGAGAGCATATTGACTGGCTGCATCACTGCTTGGTATGGCAATAGCACCGCCCTCAATAGCATGGTGCTACAGAGGGTTGTGCGGACAGCCCAGTACATCACTGGGGCCGAGCTCCCAGGCGATGTGAAAATCATCAAAGACCCCAACCACCCAAGCCAGACTATTTTCTCTGCTGCCGCACGGCAAGAGGTACCGGTGCATCAAGTCTGACACCAACAGGCTCTTGAACAGCTTCTATCCCCAAGGAATACGACTGATTAATAGCTAACAAAATAGCTACATGGACCGAGTTTACCTTGCATCTTTATTTTACATTTGAGTCATTTAGCAGACGCTCTTATCCAGAGCGACTTACAGTTAGTGAGTGCATACATTTTTCATACTGGCCCCCCGTTGGAATCGA